TTTCTACTCAAGGCATCAGCTATTGTATTAACTTTACCCAGATGATAATGAATCTGTAGGTCACAATCCTTGATCAATTCGAGGCATCGTCTCTGTTGCGCATTTAGTTCTTTCTAGGTAAAGAAATACTTCAAGCTTCTGTGGTCTATATACACTTCACACTTAGCCACATATAAGTTGTGGTGCCAGATTTTCAATGCGAATAAAATGGCAGCAAACTCCAAATCATGTGTCGGGTAATTTTTTTCATGCGATTTTAGCCGTCGGGACATGTAAGCAAATACTTTGTCATTTTGCATTAAAACACAACCTAAACCTCTATGAGATCCATCACTAAAAATTACAAATCGTTCAGTACCTGACGATAAGGTAAGGATTGAAGCTGTAGTTAATCTCATCTTCAATTCTTGGAATGCAAATTGTCTCTGATTTGTCCACATGAATGGTTCTCCCTTTTAGGTCAATTGTGTCAATGGTACAACAATCTTAGAAAAGTCTCTCATAAATCTCCGGTAGTAACCTACCAAACCCATAAAGCTAAAAATTTCTATTACATTAGTAGGAGTAGGCCAATTAACAATTGCTTCAATTTTCTATAGATCAACAGATACCATGCCTAGAAAATGTAACCTCATTCAACCAAAACTCACATTTCTCAAATTTCCCAAACAGTTGTTTCTCTCTGAATGTTTGAAGGATTATTCTAAGGTACTGTTTATGTTCTTCCTCACTCTTTGAATAAATCAAAATGTCATCAATAAAATCAATAACAAATTTATCCAAAATGGTTTGAAGATTCGATTAATTAAATCCATGAAGGCTGCAGGTGCATTAACAACTCCAAAAGGCATTACTAGAAATTCATAGTGTCCATACCTGGTCTGAAAAGCAGTTTTCTCTATGTCCTTAGCCTTAGCCTTCAACTGGTGGTATCCTGATCTCAAATCAATCTTTGAAAATATTTGAGCCCTCTGTAATTGATCAAACAAATCATCAATCTGAGGCAAAGAATATTTATTTTTAATGGTTATCTTATTGAGTTCTTGGTAGTCAATACACAATCGGAGTGTTCCATTATTCTTTTTCACAAACAACACAGGTGTACCCCAAAGTGATGTGCTCGACCAGATGAACCCCTTATCAAGTAACTCATGTGATTAAACTTTAAATTCTTTCATTTCAAAAGTTGGCATACTATATAGAGTTTTAGATATGGGTTGAGTACCTAGTATAACATCAATTACAAATTCAACTTCTCTATCAACCAATTGCCCATGCAACTCTTCCAGAAACACATCACAAAAATCTTTTGCAACCGGTATATCATCTAAGACAATATTTGTAGTTTGAAGATTCAATATACTACACAAATACCCCTAACACCCTATGTTAATCAACTTACGAGCTTTCATTGCAGAAATTAAGTATAGTGGGGGAACTACACCTCTCCCCCTCAAAATAAAACTCGTTTTGTCTTGGAGATCGGAATATTACACACTTAGAAGCACAATCTATAGTCACATAACATTTAGACAGCTAGTCCATACCCAAAATAATGTCAAAGTGAGTCATGTCTAAGGGCAATAAATCAATATACAACGTAGCATTCTCAAGTAAAATTTAACATACAGCGTAAACAGATGAATACAACATAGATCCTCCTGACGGTGATGATGCACATAAGATATATATCAAGACTTCCAAAGGTCTATTCAATCTAGGAGCAAATTGCATAGAAATAAACGAATGTGTAGACCCTGAATCAATCAAAACATATGCATCCTACCCGCAAATAGGAAATGTACTTGAAACTACTGTTTTTGTATTTTAGGCGTCCCTTGGAACAAGCTCAAAAACCCTTCATTGTCTTTGATTATCCCTCGTTGTAGTCGGTGTTGCGTTGGCCCTTACATTCGGTGCCGATCCAGTTGATCTTGTAGCACCCTGGTTATCACGTTGCCATGGTTGTGGACATTCTCTAGCTATGCGTCCCATCTTCCCACACAGAAAGCATGCCCCCGTAGTCCGATAAGATACACCTCGATGCTTTTTCCCATAATCTAGACAAACAGGTGCTGAATTACCACTCTAACTTGAACTACTTGAATTTCCCGACTTTGCTTTCTTAGCTATTGTTGAGGTTGCCCCTTTGTTCACATTCAAATTTTGTCTTTTACCCTTCCATTCAAAATTCCAATTTACGAGCGGCCATGTTTGCCTTCGACATAAGGGCTCTATCCAAAACATCAATATATTTAGCCAGTTTCGAAGTCGCGAGGTTGTCCTTCAAATTTCCTGGCCTTTTTGTAGTTTGTATCAACCATATGCGGTGTAAATCGTGCTAACTCTGTAAATTTGGCTTCATATTCCGCCACTATCTTGTTCCCTTGCTTTAACTACTCAAACACCGTTACTTTCCTATCCCGAACGCACTGCGGGAAATATTTATGGTAGAAAATTTCTAAGAACTGAGCACAACTAATTCCCCTGTTAGTATCTTGTACTAACATCAACCATCTTCTCGCTTCATCTTCTAAAGTAAAGGCGGCCAACAAAACTTTTTGTGTCTCTGTGCATGGAAACACTTCAAATAATTTTTCAATCCCTAATATCCAGGCCTCAGCCTTTACTGGATCAACTCCCTCGTGAACAAGGGTGACTTTATCTTTTTGAATTCTTTGGTGTGGACAATGGTTCGGTCAACTGTTTGGTGATCCTGTACCGGTGGTATGGGCGTTGGAGGTGGGGGTGGTGGTTGCCATTGCTGCCATTGTTGTTGTTGTCTTAGGCTTTCAGCCTTGTCGTGCATTATTCTTTCTATCCGGTTAAGTCGGTTGAAGGTAGACTCCTCTAATTCATCCCCTCTTGTTCTCACCATTATCTATATGAAACTTATATTATAACAAGTACATTGTATGCACACATATACAAACACACATTTTCAAAAAGTTACCTTATTCTAATATTCAAATCCATATGAATGCAGTCCTTACGTCTTTTCTAGACACATTATTGCTTAATGGACAAGTGAGTGAGGTATAACTTGTGCTCTGATACTAAACTATCACGACTCAAACTGCCCTAGAGGTTTAGGCCGTGACCAGCCAGTAATCCCAGATTACCCATTCTTAAAGACAAAACAAATAATTAACAATAGTAAATGGGGCACTGCGGAAGCAATAGTAAAATAGAATTGTGTCCATCAAGTAGTGCATATATGCAAATTTATAAGTAATTAAAACTTCAACCTTCTTCATAGATATGAACACATAGTTCCATCATAACATCTTAAACACTTATACAAAATATCCGTACATAACAAGTTCCAAAAACAAAAGAAAACTAAACAAAATAACTTAAAACAGCAGGGTTAACATGGCTTGGCTTCACATGAGTCTAAGATCGCCTCATTACGGAAGCATTCCAAAGCAGCTTGACAGAAGAGTGGATTTTCGAGGTTGCTTTAAACTTGACACTCTATTTGCTCACCTACATATATATAGGGAAAGGGGGTGAGCTATAGCAAAATGAGTAATACCAGTATAAAGAGGTTAAATGAATGATGTCTATCATAATACTAAATCATTTCATATGAGTTCCGAAGTAAAGCATAACTAAATACTTATCATATCAATGTTTGCAAACCATAAATCATGTTTATGTGTGGTACATCCAATAGAGCAAAGCAAAGGGCTCGATGGCATATCAAAGGGATCACATGGGTCAAACAAATGGACCATATAGGTCAAGCAAAGGGACCACTTGAGTCAACATCAGAGATCTCCATGCACATATAACAAAGGACCACGATAATGTTTCCCTCCAGCAAGGGCCTTATAACAGAGGGCCACGGTATTGTTTTCCTTATGCAAGGGCCTTACAGCAAAGGGCATTGGTATTGTTACCTCCAGGCATGGGCTACAATAAGGATTCCACAATTACATTTCAAAAGAGACAATCATTCATTCTTATCAAAATAGGATTCCAAATAATACTCTAGTAGCAAATCGAAATACACTTTAACAACATATCCTTACAAAGATACTATTTACAGTGGGCTAGTACAGATGTTGGACCTCGGTTGACCATCTACATAAATTGCATAACAAAGGTACACATTGAAACATACGCTCATAACAAATAATGTATCTTAATGTGATTCTCTTACGTGTGTTTCTAGCTTATTCCGTGACTAAGAATGTCTAAATGATGCTTAAGAATGCCTAAAAGGGCATAAGGATGCAATTATGCACTTAAGAGTGTTAGTCAAAATTTATTGAAAATAGGGTCTTCGCTTGAGCGACTCGAGCGCACCTTTGGTCACTAGAGCAGTGTGACCTAACTGCAAAAGTACTAGATGCATGAAATGTACGCCCGATGGTCGCTCGAGCCAAGTGCCACTACTACAAAAAAAAAATTAAAGATCACACTTTGACAAATGAAAATATCTCACTTTTTATTGGAAGTGTGATAAAAAAAATTAGATTGATATTTTAATCACACTAGATTTGATTAAGTGTGATAATATTTAACCATAAAAAATTAGTTCTTGATTTTTAGTAACCAAAAAAAATGGGCCGCAAAAAAATATTTTTCATTGACCACAAAAAATTAATTTTATTTTAACAGAAAACATTTTTCATTAAAATATTACCCCTACTTCTACCAAATAAAAAAATAATAATTTTTTTTTCATTAAAATAAAAATGAAACAAATAAATTTTCAACCTTAGTAACTAAAAAAAATCATTAACTACTAAAAAAAAATATTTTAACAAAAAAAATAAATTTCTTTTCGTTTTCCCGTAATTTCTATCCTAATTCCCCCTTTCTTTCCCCCATTTTGTTTCTCGCGATCTCAAATCCCCAAACCCTAATCCCTAACCGAACACTCCCTGTCACTCTCTCTCACTCTTTTCTCTCTTTATCTCTTCCACCTCCTACATCGTCACCTCTGGTGCCGCCACCAACGACGACCACTATTACCGCCACACCTCCTCCCTCACTACCCTCTCTCTCTTCTCCTATTCTCTTCACCAATCTTCACCGGTCGTCTACTTCCTCTTCTCCACTCTCGTTATCGGTTCCAAAACCCTAACCCTACATTCGATCTTCTTCAATCCCTCCACAAGCCATAAGTTAGAATTCAGACCCTACACTTCCCTCAACTGTTTCAGAACCTTTGTCTACAAAGGACTGCCGCCAGACTTGTCAAAACGGCGATCTCGAACAGGCTGATTGTGATGAGAAAGATCAAGAGGCGAGGCACATTAATGTGTCAAAAACGACATCGAAAGATGGACAGTTCATTTTTGCCCTAATTTTTCTCTCCATTTTTGTTCAATCAACCCCTCGATCTTCTCTAATCAGAACTCTGCACCAGATTTGCCGGTTTAGTCCAACTCTAGGTTTAGCCTTGAGGTACACCCCACTCTCCTCCCATTTTTTGCCTCTGTTTCTATGGTTTACAGTCAATTGTACCCGTTTGAGGGTGTTTGGAATTACACCTCTGGTATCATTCAACATGCGAAAATTGATTAATTGTTGCCATTTCGATGCTTAATGTACTCAATTCAAACATAGCAGTTAAGAAAAGATATAAAGATAAAAACATCAAACAAAAAATTATCCCTTTACTTGATCTGATAAAAAGGCATAGTGATATGAAGTATTAGGACTGGTGATTTAGGCAATAATCATTTGATTAATCGTGGTAGTCCTTTAGCATGAACCTGCTCTAGCAATGCCCCAAATTTGCCATATGGCTGTTCAATATGAATTTTGGTGTTAATGAACACTGCATACTCCATACAGGAGTTAAAACAGATGACCTTACATAGAAATAAGGATTTGTGTTGTTTATTTGAAAAAATAAGCTTCTGTAAAACTAATTTAAAAAATAATCCATGTTTTTCAACAAGAAAATGGAGTGTGGATGTGAGTTATATAATAGTTCCTTCCCATTCTTAGCACGAAATTTCAGAATTGGCTCAATTGATGTGTATTCTTCACCTATTCATGCTAATCTGGTTAGGTCTTCCAATGACTGAATGTATTCATATATTAATACTCAAGATAAATGTTTGAAACTAGTTCAAATCAAAACCAAACCACTATACTATTTGAGAGATGGTATCATGCTGCAATTGTCATTGATGGAGAGTCCTCTGAGTGGTTTATTAGATTTTTAATTTTATTTTTTCCGATTTTTAGTACTTTGGGCTGATTCTTCCAAACTAACATTGAGGAGCTCTGGGTTTTATTGTAGGTCTTGAACCTGGAACAAAGTATTATTACAAGTGTGGTGATAGTTCTCTTCCAGCTATAAGTGATGAGCAAGTCTTTGAAACCTTACCATCGCCTAGACCCAATAGCTATCCTCGTTGAATTGTAATTATTGGAGATTTGGGTCTCACAAGCAATTCAACAACCACCATTGATCATCTCATAGAAAATTATCCTTCAATAGTTTTAATGGTTGGAGACTTAACTTATGCAAACAATTACTAGACAACTGGTGGTAAAGGAGCTTCGTGCTTTTCATGTGCATTCCCAAATGCGTCCATTAGAGAAACATATATCAACCCCGTTGGGATGCATGGGGAAGGTATCAAACTCTTTTGCTATAGTTACAGTTATATATGATGCTTCTCTTATTATTATTTTTTTTCACTGTGGTGAACTCTAACAGAAGATGCATAGTATTAGTCATATTCCTAGTTCCAATAAGGTTTTGTTCCTTGGCAATTTAATTTTCAGAATTATCAAATTTAGGTTTGCAATGCAGTAGTGTTGATGACGTTTTTTTTAATGATTTTGTCAATTTGTCTTTGCTCCTGAATGGATTGTTTATAGCCTAAACTTATCAAATTTGAATTTGAAACACTACATTAAGCCTCTCAACAAATTGTATCCCAAATTTTGATATATGCTTCCTGCTATTCAGAGGAAAAAGTAACCAGATAATTATCTATCAAAAAAAAAGTAACCAGATAATCATTTAACCTTTTTTTTGGTAATAACATAGTTAGCAGTGATGAAAGTAGAATGTGTCCTCAACGAAGATTTTGTTTATGCCCTTTGATTATCCTATTATATAGCCCTTGCAAGGTATTTAGGTCCCACTTGATTTTAGAATAACAACATATGATTAGACTGTTAATCCTATCAAATTCATATTCCTGCGTTTGGATCACACAAATGATATCTGGCTTATTAATACGTAGGACTCTTAATCCTGCAAGGACTCTTAATCCTACAAAATTGCAGTATATTGAATACCAAAGGAGGGTAGGTATTACCAATCTTACACATAATTATCCCATGAGATTATTAATCCCGTGAGATTGTTAATCGCATGACTAATACTCCAACTAATCAAACAGGGCCTTAAGTCTCTAAAAGCCTTAATTGCTCACTTGTGAAAGAAGCTTAAATTACTTTTTGATAGGGTTAGCCAACTACATTTGTTAATGCAAACAAGAAAGCAGGGAGTATGTTGAAAATGGAAGCTATCCTATGGGGATACGTACTCAGCTATCTATTACTTGATTTATGGATGCAAATGAAGCAATTTTTGGTTAGTTAAAATTGACTCTTAAAGTTATGGATGCATGATCTACACAAAATATTAGAAGTTAGAACTTCGGATCCAAATATACATTAAATTGGTTGAATCCACTCGTTCTTTAAATTGCTAATAAACAATTTCTTTAGTTGGTAAGGAATATATAATCATTTTAAGATTTCATTTTGGATTTGTTGATTCTATGTATATTTGGTTTCATGACTTTAAAATATCTAGCCATCCATTGAAGATTTTCATTTTGGATTTATTGATTCTATGTATATGTCATATCTATATAGTAATCCAAACATTTTATACTAGTAACAATCAAAGCTATTGTTCCTTTTCTATTGATGCAGGAGATGAAGAGTTAATGTGATGAGAAAATGTCCAATTTATCTTTTGTAAGACTAGAATAGTCTCTACAAAAATAGTAAGTTTATTTATATGCTTCTAGCGGTTTTTGAATTAATTTGTGTTTTTATTTTTCAGGTCAAAAATTTCTTAGAGAGATGCAAAATATGGTCAAAGAATTCAAGAACTTAGTTTCTTCATTTTTTAATATATGTAATCACAGTTAGAAACTTTTTATTAATTCATTTATATATACTTTTGATCATTTAACTTTCATTTATGAAATACATGACGTTATTCTATTCAATATGTAGTTGTGATTCAAAATATAGTATATAGTGTGTATTACATTCTTCAAATTTGTGTACAAAAATAATATTGATCATTCTTCAAATATGTGGAACCTTTTTTTTATCACACACATTAATTGTGATGAAAAATGCATATAACGTGTGATCTTATCTCATCATTAACCACAAGTTTTATTAGATATTAATCACATTTAAAATCTGTGATCTAAATGTTTATTATCACAGGTTTTATTAGTTATGAATCACACTTAAAAGATGTGATCTAAATATCTATTATCACACTCAAAACATGTGATGGAATCATTTTTTAATGACACTTAAAAGTTGTGATTAAAAATGACCCATTTTAATCACACTCCCAAATATCACACTTTAATAAAACTTAAAATTGCGATTAAATAACATACATCACACAAACAAAGTGTGATCTATTTATGATTTTGTAGTAGTGTGCTGAACAAAATTGAGTTTGCTCGAGCACACACTTGGTCACTCGAGTCAACTACCAAAAGTCTGCAAAAATACTGGATGTATGCAAAGTTCGCTCGACCCACGGATTCTTCGCTCGAGTGAACTAGGCAAATTTTGGATTTTCCCAAATTGAATTTGAAGTGCAAAAAGGCAAGTCTCATGTTCCTAACTTGCATGGCTTGGCTCAATAGCATAGAAACTCTTTAGGAAACATGGATTCTTGAAAATTATGAAACCATGATCTCAAACACTCTTTCAATTCTTCAAAACAAAACTCAAAGCTTCAAAATATTATTGTCATGCATGTGTTAAATTCAACTCTTTTCTTTACAAAACATGTTCATATGAGATGTTCAGTGTGAAATCATAAAGAACATTAAGAAATAATAAGTGTAAGTCCAATGCATGTATGAATATGTAGAAAACTAAGTTCAAAGATAGAGAATTATACATACATGTACTCAATTTACTCAAACTCACTAAATTCATGGTGATTCTTACTCTTTTCTTTCAAATTCATGCAAAATGGTTCTATATTAAGTAAATTCAATTTGCTACATGGATTAATTACAAGAATTATAGGTGAATTCGATACCTAGAGCTTAATCCCTTCAATCTCCCTTCAATTCCCTAGAAATCGCTCTACTTCTCTGTCTATGTTGTTGTTCTCACTCTCACTCTAAAATTTCAGCTCATAAGATGATGAAGTGAGTTCCTAAGCATGATTAATACATACATATATATATATATATATAGATGGATTAAGGTTTAACTACTTAAGTGGGATTAAACTTAATTAATTAGGCTTAATTCTAATCAATTCTAATTAATTTATTCTAATTATTTTGATCCGAATCAAATGTTAATTAAACTTACCATATGGTTCTAAATATTTTAATTAGTCTATTGAACTAGTCAATTTAGATTTCTGAATCTGTTTGGACTTTCAATTTCAAATTCTGAGTCGATATTCTAACAGATAATTCACAAATAAACAGATAAACATCAAAGTCTCAGAACTAATAAGTCTCATGGTCCAACCAAGCAATACCAACCAATAAATAAATACATATATATATATATATATATGTGTGTGTGCGCGCGCGCGCTTCACCAAATAAATACTAAAACACATTAGACTTAGTCTCACTAAGCAACATACATATTGCGATTATATAATCCAACCAATCAAATATATGACCAAATGAAAAGACTATAAAACCTCTTTTGGGAAGATAGTTAAAAGTTAAAAGTCAACTTTTAACTTGTTTTATGTCATATTATCTCTCTATAGTTTTACATATTTTTTTATAATAATAATAAAAAAAGTAAAAAATCAATTTTTAGCTTACTTTCTAAAATAACCCAAATTCTCAATATAAAGATTTCATCTGCTGGTGATATGTCGTAAGTAAATAATTGGGTCCAACAACCACTAAGGAAGCTAACCCAACACAACATCAGTTGGCCAAATGAACAATTTGAAATTTTTGTATTCATTTGATTGGCCATTTTCTTATTCTTTCTTGTAAAATTCAGCTAATATATTTCTGAATAATCTTTTGAACGTCGAAAGTGCTGGTAAAGAACCAAAGGCTCTGTTTGGTAGAGTTTTGAAACTTTAGTTTCATCCTTTGGTTTGCACGTGATATTTGTTTACAATTTTAAAAAATTAATTTCACACTCACTTTTGAAAACTCTATCAAAGGCGGAAAAATTTGGGTTAACCGGTCGTCCTCCCGGTTGACCGTAACAGTGCATATATATATATATATATTTTCACAATTACCACCTGTTATTTTTTATATTTTAAATAAAAAAATTTCAGAAATTTTTAAATTTTTTTATGAGTTTTGAATAGAATTTTGAGTTGTGTGCTTGGTTATGAGTTGTAAATTTTTGTGGCAAATATCATATGCCACATCAAAAATTCCTCACTCAATTCAAAACTCTTTTCAAAACTCATTCACCAAATAATTTTTCACACTTAAATCATAATTCCAAAAATTTACAAATTTAAAATACAACTTTTATTTTCAAATTATATTGAAAAAAACTCTACTAAACGCTACTAAAGCTTTTTCTTTGAAAGTACTCACAACAACGCTTCGAAGAACGAAAAATATCCTTCGAAAGTTAAAGATGTTAATATAGGACGAAATTCAAAGGTCAAAGGTGCCGAAAAAGGACCTAAGCCATCCTTTGAAATACTCACCACAATGCTTGACAGGTCCAAAACCATCATTGGAAGATAGAAGGCGTTGATTGAGGACAAAAATCTTACTTCGAAACTGTAAAAGCTACATACTTCGAAGGCTTACGATACTTTGAAAGTGTAAAATGAGTAATATTAGGGATTATGAAAAAAATATCATAAAAATAATTATGAAAATTTTTTTATTTTTAGATTACACATGTAATAAAACGTCACATACTAATCAAAGAATGAAAAACCTTTATAATGCATTTCATGATATTTTTTATGATTCCTAACATTACTCGTGTAACATCCATGTGCTCCAAAGTTTCGAATGTGCAAATATTTAGAATATTGTGCAATTTTATATTTTTAAACATGTGGTTTTGCATGTATGCAAAACCAATTACAGCAAATCTACATGTGGCTAACTAGGTAATAGCCAACTAAATGGCCATACCAATTACACAAACACATGCTCATAAGCTATGAATGTCTAATTTTCAGAAGCTTTTATTTTTTTTTCTCTCTTGGCCAATCTTAAACTTATATTAACCATTAGTTTTCATAGAGGCATGAAAGGAACCACCAACCTTGTTACTTAATTGGCCATTCCATTTTCATGCTTCCCATTGTAGGAATTCACCAAGTATGCGTACTGAAATTTTGAGTTCTTGTTAACCACTTCATCAAAATCAAATTTTGATGTCATCCACAAATTCAAATAATATTTGAACAATAAAAGTCATTACATAAAGGTACTTTGAAAATTCATACACCTTGATAACTTGAACAATTTCAAAAAATTCGTACTCATGAACATTAGGTTTTTTCATCATTCTTAGCCATGCTTGGCTTGAGGGTATATTTTTCAGCCACTCGAGTTTCCTCATTTATTGGCCTAATGGGTTGTTTTTCTATTTTAGCCACTAATGGCTTGTGAAAATCTTTCGTAGCCATGTGAATTTCATAATTTTTTGGCCTAATGGGTTATTTTTCTATTTTAGCCAAAAAAGGCTTATGAAAATGCTCCATAAGCATGTTATTTCAATGGTTTGACTATCTAAAAATGGATTTTTCAACC